CCTTCAACTTCAACCACACCCGCACTCGGAGCCTGGGCCTGGGCCTCAGTTGGCGGTCCCATTTGACCCCCTCTCCCGCCCGACCCCGTCCCAGCTTCCCCAAGGTCTGCCGGCTTGCCTGTCACAGCTGGTGTGCCAACGAACTGAGGAGGAAACACAGCTTTCGGACGTGGTTCAGGGACACTAGAGCTTGCACCCGCAGACGACGACGATGCTTTGGAGCTCTCCAGCTTATCCATTCGCTCCACCAAAGACTGCTGGCCTTGCATCAGCACACGCAGCATTGACGCCAGATCGCCAAAAGGATCTCTGCTCCCGGACTGGGTCTCAACAGGCGGCGCGGAATAATCAGGAACTAACTCTCTGTCATCAACTTCTCTCAGACCCAATGCTTCAAGGCCTTTCATTGTACCACGCTCCATAGCCGAAAACTCACTCAATCCAGTAACGCTGTAGTGACCTCGTGATGCATCCCGGGCAACTTGTGCCTCCGGTTCCTGCTGCTGCGCAGGGTTGATACTACGTAGTTCTTCTGCAGGCTGTGGGACACTCTCCTGCGGAACAGCATCTCCTGCTCCGGCCTCAGGAGTTTCCTGGGCTTGAGGTCCAAGCTCATACGGCGGTTCACGTTCAGATTCATCGCCTTCCCTTATGGCTGCACCTCTCTCCCCAGGGTCCTCTTGCACGACCTGTTGTGCACGGCGAAATTCCTGCTGCACTGCATCTGACCAGAAGGGGTTCGGGAAGTTTGCCATGGCAAGGTCTACTTTCTACAGGGCCCTTTTACTTAGCGTTGGGCTCATAACCCTCGCGTGGGCAGGAAGCTCCACAGCGGGGTTACGCAGGGCTCTTTTTGTCACCAGGCAGCAACAACACAACAAAAGACCAGAAAAGACAAGATCTGATAGGAGTCTGTGTCCTATAACGTCTGTGCTCATACTGTACACTATACATATGCGATTTCTAAAAAGAGAACTTGCTGGTGGCCTGGGCCCCTGTAGACCTTGGGCCATGTGATAGCAGCATAACTCTGAACATGAACTCTTTGTGCACTCGCGAGGGTTTAGGGTTTAGGGTTCAGGGTTTAGGGTTTAGGATTTAGGGCTACGATATGAGCCCAAACAACTTAACGACCCCAAACCCCAAACGAAGAAACAAGACCACAAGCCTAAAAACTGACCTCAAAACCCCAAAGCCCCAAACCCCAAACCCTAAACCCTGAACGCACCCAAGGTGTTGGAGATTTGGGTCGGAGCTAGGCGGCTCTTTGTAGAGAATTGGGGAGTTGGGGTTAGGGTCCCTGTATGATCAGCTTACAGGGTTGTATCGGAGCGGAGTACGTATGATCACCTTAAAGGGGTATACCCAACCTCCCTACGAAGAACTGGCCAAGCTCAACCCTGAACCCTACAACCTTAACCCTAAACCCCTAAACCCCTGAACCCCTAAGCCCCTGAACCCCTAAGCCCCTGAACCTCTGAACCCCTAAACCCCTGAACCCCTCTAAGCCCCTAAACCCTCAGAGAACGCAAGCAACCTCGGAGTCACAAACCCACTTGAAGGGAGCGTAGGGTTTAGGGTTTAGGGTTTAGGGTTTAGGGTTTAGGGTTCAGGGTTCAGGGTTCAGGGTTTAGGGTTTAGGGTTTAGGGTTTCGGGTTTAGGGAAATGAAAGAACACTAGCACTAGTAACTACAACAGCAGTTCATTCTTTCATTCCCTACGCACCAACAGTGAGTCAAAGGCGCCTCCAAAAACGTACTGCAAGCCGCCGTCGCACAGAGCCATGAGCAGCCTGCGCAAGGCGCATGGCCCAAAACCCAAAGAAACCCGGGAAACCCTAGAGGCCCCCTAGAAAGCCTTAGGAAGCCTTAGAAACCCTTAGAAACCCAAACGCCTAGAAAGCCGAAAGCCCTAAAAACCCTCCAAACCCTAAACCCTAGAAACCCTAAAAACCCCTAAACCACGCGTGACTTACAACTTCCGCCTCAACCAAACCTTGAGCCTTAAACACCTGAAGGGCAGGAGTCTAGCTCTTTTAGGGTTGGGGTTTAGGATGTAACCAAAAACCCTAAACTCCCTAAACTCCCTAAACTCCCTAAACTTCCTAGACTCCCTAAACCCCAAAACATGGCCTTCCATCCGCGACGGGCAGGACGTTGGGGGTGGCAGTTGCCAAATCCCATGTCACCTGCACGTCATGGCAAAAACTTTCTAGACCCAGAGCCCTAAACTCAACCCAAAACCCTCAAATCCTACACTCCAAGCCCGAAACACGAAACCCAACAAGCAGCGCTGAACCCTCCACCCCGAACACTTCAGCTCAAGATGTCGAGTTTGAGGGCTGGACGGCTTCGGCGCCGTGGGGTTTAGGGTTCAGGGTCTGGGTTTGGAGTTCCCTACGAAACCTAAACCCTAAAACTTTCAGAGGCTTAGGGTGTGGAGGCTGCACACAGAAATCTCGACAATGTTGGCGCATGACGCACCTTAAACCCTAAACCC